ATAATTACTTGAAATGTAAATGGATTAAATTATCCATTCAAAAGGTATAGAGTAGATAAATGGATAAAAAAAGAAGACCCAACTATATGGTGCCCCGGAGACACTCCTTTCAGCTTCAAGCAGAAAATACTTTCAAAGGGAAGATATGGAAAAAGATATTCCACAGAAATGGAAACCAAGAGAACAGGGTAGCTATACACGCATCAAAAAAAAATAGAGGTGAAGTAAAAAATGGTCACAAGAGATAAATAGGGTCATTATATAATGAAAAATGAGTCAATTCATCCAAAAATATCATAGTTGTAAATATATATGACCATATCACAGAACCTAAACATATTAAGCCAACACTAACATATCTGAAGGTACAAAAAAAAAAAAAAAAAACCCAGCAGTAATCAGGGACTACAATACCCCAATTTCAACAGCCTGATAAAGACACTAGAAGAAAACTACAAATAAACATCCTTGATGAATCACAAATGCAAAAATTCTCAACAAAATTCAACAGTACATTAAAAGATTATACACCATGATTAAGAGGGATTTATTCCATGTATGCAAGGAGGGTTCAATAAAGATAAGGCATGTGATATACTACATTAATAGGATGAAAGATGAAAATCAACCATATGATCATCTCTATAGACACAGAAAGTATTTCACAAAATTCAACATCCTTCCATGAGAAAAACTCTCAATAAATTGGATATAGAAGAAATATAGCTCAACATAATAAAAGCCCTATTTGATGAGTCCACAGCTAACATCACCCTAAATGATGATAGGCTGGAAGGTCTCTAAGATCAGAAACAAGACAAGGGTGCCCACTATCATCGTTCCTGTTCAGCATCATAGTGCAAGTCCTAGCCAGACCAAATAGGCAAGAAAAAGAAATTATTATTACTATTATCCAAATCAGAAAGGGAAAAGTAAAATTGTTTGTAGATGATATGATCTTATATACAGAAATTCCTAGACTCCTCCAAAAACCTATTAGAATAACCAATTGCAATAAAGTTTCAGTATATAGAAATCAGTTATGTTGCTAGAGACTAACAACAAAACATCTGAAAATTTTTTTTTAAAAAAGTCCCATTTACAATAGCATCAAAAACAATAAAATTCTTAGGAATAAATTTAACCAGGGAGGTAAAAGATATTCAAGAAAGAAAGGAAACAAATGGAAAAATATCCTGTGTTCATAGAGAAGAATTTATATTGTTAATAAGTCTATACAACCTAAATTCAATGCAATCACTATCAAAATTCCAATGACATTTTTCACATAGGAAAAAAAAAATCCTAAAATTTGTATGGAACCATAAAAAGATGCCAAATAGCCAACACAATACCGAGAAAGAACAAACCTGGAAGCATGAAATTCCCTGAATTCAAAGTATGTTATAAAGTAATCAAAACAGAATGGTACTGTCAGAAATAGACCAATGCAATAGAATTGCAAGCCCAGAAATAAACTCACAGAAGTACTATCATCAAGTATTTGACACTACATCTGTATCTTTGGGGTAAATACAAGTACCCCAAAGATACAGATATAGTGAAAAGAAGGGGCACATGCACCCCAATGTTCATAGCAGCAATGTCCACAATAGCCAAACTGTGGAAGGAGCCAAGACGCCCTTCAACAGACGAATGGATAAAGAAGATGTGATGGAGTATTACTCAGCCATCAGAAAGGATGAATACCCAGCATCTGCATCGACATGAGTGGAATTGGAGGGGATTATGCTAAGTGAAATAAGTCATAACAGAAAAAGACAATTATCATATGGTTTCACGCTTATGTGGAACATAAGGAACAGTGTGGAGGGCCACGGGAAGGGAGGGAAAACTGGGAAGAAATCAGAGAGGGAGACAAACCATGAGAGACTCTAGACTCCAGAAAAAAAAACTGAGGGTTACAGAAGGAAGGGGCTGTGGAGATGGGGTAACTGGTGATGGGTATTAAGGAGGGCATGTATGGTGATGAGCACTGGGTGTTATACACAACTAATGAATGGCTGAACACTACATCAAAAACTAATGATGTACTACTATATGCTGGCTAACTGAACATAAAATACATACATACATACCAAAATTGCAGAAAAACAAAACAAGTATTTGACAAGGCAGTAAAGAACACTCAATGAGGAAAGCATAGTCTCTTCAATAAAAAGTCCTGAGAAAAGTGGATCTTCACATGCCAGAGAATGAAAATGGACACCTATCTTATGCCAATCACAAAAACTAATTCAAAATGGATTAAAGGATTATACCTAAGACCCAAAACTATAAAACTCTTAGAAGTAAACATATGAAAAAAGCTCACTCACATTGGTCTTGACAATATTTTGAATATGACACCAAAAGCAAAAGTAAAAATGGGACTATATCACACTATAAAGCTTTTGCAAACCAGTGGTAACCATCAACAAAATGAAAAGGCAACTTACAGGAGAAAATAATATGCAAGTCATTCAAAAAAAAATAATATGCAAGTCATATGTTGGAGAAGGAGTCCAAATGTATAAGAAACTCACACAACTCAAGAAAAAAAATCCAATTAAAAAGTAGACACAAAACCTGTATGGGCATTTTTCCAAAGAAGACCTAAAAATGGCCAACAGGTACATGAAAAGATGCTCAAAAATCACCAATTATCAAGGAAATGGAAATCAAAATCACAATGAAGTAACCTAATACCTATTAGAATGGTTATTATCAAAAAGACAAGAGGTAACAAGTGTTGGCAAGGATGTAGAAAAAGGAATACTTACGCACTGTTGGTGGGAAGGTAGAAGGTACAGCCACTATAGAAAACAGTATGGAGGTTCCTTAAAAAATTAAAAATACAACTACCATATGATCCAGCAATCCCACTTCTGGGTATGTAACTGAAAGCAACCATATTCTATCCTAAAGAGAGATCTGAACCCCCATATTCGTTGCATTATTATTCACAACAGTCAAGATGTAGAAACCACTTAAGTGCTCACTGACAGATGAATATGGATATATATATATATCACATTTCAGCCACAAAAAACAAAATCATGCATTTGCAACAACATGAATGGACCTGGAGAGCATAATGCCAAGTAAAATAAGTTAGAGAAAGGCTAATACTTTATGATCTCCCTTATATGTAGAATCTAAAAAAAGGGAGAATAGAATGGTGATTTCAGGGGGCTGTAAGGTGGGGAAAACAGGGAGATGTTGGTCAAAGGGTACAAATTGCCAGTTATAGAGTTAATCTTAAATATTCTCACCACGCAACACACACACACAGAGGTAATTTATATGAAGTGATAAAGGTATTAACTAACTTTATTATGGTAATCATTTTGCAATATATACAGGTATCAAGTCATTACACTGTATACCCTCAACTTTCACAGGATGTTATATGTCAGTTATTCCTCAGTAAAGCTGGGGGGGGGCGGAGTCCTTTCCTTATAGATAGCAAAGAAAGAAACAAACAAAAAGCCTACTGTTTCTAGATTTATACATTGTTTTACTCAGCAGTGTGGGGTCTCAATGCAGCAATTCTCCGAAAGGATATTTCTTATTTGTTCTACAGGATTAACCAGGCCACCTTCCCCTTTCTTTCCAATTGTACACCCTTATTTTACAACACTGATATCCTGGTCTCCACAGAAGACCCCACAAGGGCCTATCATATCCTTCAAGCTCTTAACCTCTATGCAATGTCTCAAATTGAAGAGAGAGGAGAATGGCTATTCAACAGCCAGCAGTGGAAGACTATAACTTCTTTCTTTCTTTATCCCCAGGGTGAAGAACATGGATTTTTGCCTACAAGTACCACAATCAAAATCAATCAATTACCAACCAAAAATGGAGGATTCTAAGTTCAGCATCTTCTTTAACAGGGCGCTGTCACTTTGCCTTAGGTGACGCACAGGATATATGTCAGTATACAGAACAGAAACTTTTATTGGACCACGAGAACATCCAAGCCACATGTGTGTTCACTACCATGGAATTTGCATGTGCTTTTTTGCCCTTTGTCTATGCTCTTTAGTCAAGCACCACTTCAAATCTTTTGCCTATTTTCTGAATTAGTACACAGTAAAATTGACTTTTTGTTCTTTTGGTATACAGTTCTATAAATTTTGACATGATGAGAAAGGTTCCCCTTTAAGAGTTTGGCTCCTATAGTTTCCACTACCAACTGCTTTCATTGTCTCTACTGTTCTGCCACAGGATTGCATGAGGAATTGGAGTAGAAGAAAATAGAAAAAAAACACAAGAATCTCTTCTACTCTCCTGAGCCAGAACTAGAGGTATCTCCTAGATACCTCTCTGTCTGCTCCAAATTGCCCAAACTCAAATCAAGGATGTAGAGATGCAGAAGGTTGGTAATTTTTTATCTACTAACTAAATGTCATCTTGAATGCTGGTATTCTTACCTGATCCACCTGATCTTTACACCAAATACCTGAGGAGCTTTGCATTCACTCCAGGTTTATAGTTCTGTTAGCAGGAGAGAGAGGCTAGTATGTTTATATACCATCTTACCTATAAACAGATTGACGATTTTTTTAAAACCATGATTTCTATCTTCTGGGTAGCAATAATTCTTCACATATTCTAGATATATGCCCCATACACATATATTTTCCAAATATTTTCTCTGAGTCTATGGATTCTTTTGAAGAGTAAATATTTTAATCTTTATTTTTTCTCCCATGGTTTATGCTTTTTGTGTTATAAAGATCTGGTATTCTTCTGGAAGATTTATAATTTTAGTTTTACATATGGAACCATAATCCATTTTGAGTAACTTTTATATGTGGTGTGAGTTAAGGGTTGTGGTTCATTATTTACATGAGGACATTTGACTGTTCCAGCACAATTTGTTGAAGACTGTTCTTTTCTCACTGAATACTCTGACACTTGTTGAAAATCAACAACCATACAACTTATACTATTTACAAAGAAATAAGGAGAAAAAGTATAGTGTAATAACATACCAGAGATACCATGGCCCAACCAGTCTTGTTATAGATGAATTCCAAGTTGTTCCTTCTTAAATAGAGCAAACCGCCAACAAGTGACACTAACAGGGCCAAAGCAATGGTGCCAGAATAGTTGGGTGGTCTGAAGACTCGAATCTGCAAACATGCAATGAAAATTTTAAGAGCTGAATAAAGTAAAAGTGTTTTTCTCTTGACCATATTCCAGTCCTTCCAATTTTCAACTCCAAAACTTTAAAAAGGTGCCACCCTACTTTTCATTTGTGGAACTAACATTCCTTTTACCCTTTACAAATCAGAAACAAATGGCTTCCAACATCATGGTTGTGTAAAAAGACCTGCTTTAGGTGAACAGTTACTATACATACACATTACTTATGTTTAACCCAGAACTGCTGTGTTTCACCTATGAAACATGGGATCATCTAGTACAGGGGGAGGAAATAGGCGTGTAATATATTTATTATTCCAAATTGGGACATTTTAACATCTTTAACATTTTTTAACATCTTTACTGACATATAATACACACACCATACAATTCACCTGGTGTACCAGTGGTTTTTCTATTCACAGGGTTATCAAGCAACTTAAAGTGTAGGCATGATCAATAGATTAGAATCATTTCTGATGAAAATTCAGTAACCCTTATAAAGAATTAATAGTAGTTTTTCAGTATTACCCTTAGTATCCTCTATGAACTAAATGATACTGTTGCAGAACTGAGTATTTGCCAAAAGGTTAAAAAAAAAAGATGACAAGAGTTAATGGTGATGAGAGACACCCATCTTGACCAAGAATGTGTTTAGACCTTATGGTAAAATTACATATTCTAGAATAAATGTACTTTAAAATTACTGGTTATAATTGTTCACTATAGAAAATTCTGGTGAGGGGCACCTGGGTGGCTCAGTTGGTTAAGCGACTGCCTTCGGCTCAGGTCATGATCCTGGAGTCCCAGGACCGAGTCCCATGTCGGGCTCCCTGCTCAGCAGGGAGTCTGCTTCTCCCTCTAACCCTCTTCCCTCTCGTGCTCTCTATCTCTCATTCTCTCCCTCTCAAATAAAATCTTAAAAAAAAAAAAAAAAGAAAATTCTGGTGAGATGAAGGAATAAAGCAGCCTTAAGCCCTCCACATAGACATTAACCACCATCAAGATTTCGGTTTGTTTACTTCCTCAATAAACTGTCTACATATCTACACTCATATTTATGCTTTAAAACAAAATTCTAGATCATACTATAAATACTACTTTTCTAACCTATACCTTGAGCTTCTTTCTATGTCAAGAATACTTGTAGACCATTGTTGTCTATGCTACAGTACATGTAAGTAGTCTCCTATTTTTAGACATTTCACTTATTTCCAATTGTTTTCCATTATAATGAATGTTACTTAACAAATATTTCTATGGCTGAGTATTTGAATCATCCCTAATATATCCTTAGGTTAAACTTCTAGAAGTAGAATTGTTAAAGCTCAATTACATAAAATAAAGACATTACACACACAGAATTAGTTATTCCATAGTCCAAAGAACAGTATACATATTTTCTCACGTGGTTCATGAAAAGTATTATATCATTTGTATTTGCCCAAAAGCTAAATAAAAATTACACATCTTTTTTATGTTAATCACCCTACATTACATCATTAGTTTTTGATGTAGTGTTCCATGATTCATTGTTTGCGTATAACACCCAGTGCTCCATGCAGAACGTGCCCTCCTTAATACCCATCACTGGGCTAACCCATCCCCCCACCCCATCCCCTCTAGAACCCTCAGTTTGTTTCTCAGAGTCCATAGTCTCTCGTGGTTCGTCTCCCCACTCCGATTCCCCCCCTTCATTTTTCCCTTCCAACTATCTTCTTCTTTTTTTTTTTTTCTTTTAACACATAAGGTATTATTTGTTTCAGAGGTACAGGCCTGTGATTCAACAGTCTTACACAATTCACAGTGCTCACTATAGCACATATTCTAGAATTTCTTTACTAATACCTTTGAACAATATTCCATATATATTTTAGCCTCTGAAATTACTTTGTGCTCAACTCATGTACTTTTTAGTGGTTCTTAAAATATCAATGTACCATTATTCTAAAAACCATTTAAATTCACCTAACTCAGTCAAAATTCGGGTTACAGCTATCACACAGTTTTCTCTAAGCAAGGAAAAATGTTCTATAGAGTTAATTTTAAGAATCCTGTGGCCTTACTACAGTGTTATAACAAACCAAACTAATTAGTCTATTATTAAAACTGTGACGAATAAAAACATACATGAACATCCGTTCTGTCAGCAATCCACTTTGCGAGTTGTTCAGCTGCAAATCCAATTCTTTGAAGGTCAAAAGTATCAGCTCTTTTGGGTCTGCCTTTTGGAGGAAAATGCATGAACGTAGGAGCAGAATTCATGTTGAGCTGTAAAACATAAGATAAAAAATACTAAATACAATATCCCAGCAATCTTTATATCTCATTAATCTAACATTTTATGGTTTTTCCTGCATGAATTTTAAAAAGATAGCATATATTATGAAAATCTAAGTGGCTTTCCAGAGCTTAATTATTGTTCTTATTCATTGTAATATGCTATTGACTGAAAAAGAACTTGTGAATTTGGCTAAATTCTCAGAACCTTCACATACAACATTACAATTTCACTTAAGCAGTTATTAAAGAAAAAGTACTGGCACTTGTTGAAAAAAAATGCATAAAAGCATTAATGTCAAATTATTAAATTCTCTGTTAAAAATTTGAAGACTTTTTAAAAATGATGATTATACCAGAAACCAACACAAACAACCTGAATTTACCAGACTACAGGAGAAATCCACAATGATCATCTTTTTCTGTTCAATTTCTCTATTAATTCAAGTGTCTTAAAAATGATTATATCTCACAATTATTTTCTAAAGGTAATTCCATTTGAAAAGTGCATTGAATAGAAGACTACTTTTAATATAAATGGTGCTTATTAAGAATATAATACCTAAAACAAATGTTAGGTTAATTTGCATGGAATAGCAAACTACAAAAATTATATAAATTAAATTCTCACTGCTCAGAAATATGAAAAATGTCTCAAATAAAAGGCCACTAGATTTTTGGCCTTGACTTGCAATATAGTTCAGCATTTCCCAATACTGAGAATTAAAAGCAAAATCAAAGCAAAAATTGTCATTGCAGCTGACATCAAAGTAAAGATGCAGCAGTACCAACAGTGGGCTTGCACGTTATGGACATTAGTAAGGCTGGTTAAAGAGAACAAAACACACAGTCACCAGTTGCTTTCTTCTCTGTGCTTTTTCCCATGCTAGACTTTGTTCGTGTGTGTGTCCATGGTGGATGCATGAGAGATAACTAGAGCCAACACGTAAATAACATACTACAAGTAAAAACTCTCTGCGTTGGAACAATCAAAAAATTCCTACTAAGGTTTAAGATCTAAAAATCTTAGAGTTTAAAAAAAAATCATACAATTCAAAGCTTTCATCATCATTAAAATGTACAAATTCCCCAAGGCTACACAAAGCAGGGTACAACGCAGATCTTATTGCTAGTCCAGACCTGCTTCTAACACAGCACAATCATTAACTGGTTGGTCTGTCATCATTCACTTAGCCTCAACCATTGCATGGGAATCATATATAACTGAAGTTACTTTCCCAACAAGTCCCAAGTAAATCAGGAATTACCAAGTTTTGGCATTCATATTAATATTATCTTCAGACAGCACAATGTTTTAAAATGGCAGTTTAGAAAGAGCACTTCAACAAAATGTGGTTCAATAGTTAGAAAAGAAACCTAGCATTAAAAATCTTTTAGTTCTCAATAATGCAAAATATGTACTTCCCTGTTTTTGTACATTATAATTCCACATAAAAGCCACTAACTGTTACTTTTATGCATTTTAAAATAACTCTTATTGCTAAGCCAGGGGCTAGGTTTTAGAAAAGACAAAGCAGTTCTATATTCAGAATTCTGCTGAATCAAAATTAACCTGAGGAAAATTTTCAACTAAAAACAATCTTGATGTCAACTTTCATATCTATGTCAAACTTAAAAAAAAAAAAACAAACTTATGTCTAAAGCATACAAAAGAATTCAATGATTCTATCTAACAATATATCTATATGGTTATATACTGGCAGCCTATGCAGTCGGTATTCAGCACAGTTTGAATTAGTTGCTCACATTTTAAAGATATAAAAATTCATATTTGGGTTTCTCCTTGAAAAAAACAGCTCTAGCTACATGTGGCCTGCATTTGGTAAACACAGCTGGACCAAGCTGCATCCCTGAGGTCAAGTTTGTCTGCTCCAGTTTGCTGCAGTCCTCATGCACACCATACTGGTTCCTCAACAACGAGATCAACAGTCAGCTCCACACTGTTTTGCTGATTTTATTTCTTACAGTAGTTAGGAGAAAAATGAAATAGTATTTCCACTAAAGATTTATTTTATAAAAAAAGACCCAGAAAGACTTCGTTTTATGAAAATAGGAGAGAACATATGTAATTATACAAGAACTAATGTGTTTAATATATTAAGAATGTACATAAATAAAGATACCATAATGCAACTAAACTAATCCAATCTGCTTTCTTCATTTAGTTTACAAACCTGGCCAGGAGAGATATTTGGGCTTGAAGCCTCTGCTCTAGCGGTCAGATTGGACCTGGACAGCTATTCCCTAATATGGCAGCGAGGATTCAAGCGTATAATGAATAGCACTTCACCTGATGATCTCTAAGGTCAATTCTCCTGAGATTCCATGGAGACCTATAAATTACATGAAATAATATTTGGTTCTTATAGTACTATAATTTCCCTTTGTAAGGTTATTTGAAATTACAGATGGTCCCTGACTTATGATGGTTCAACTTGCAATTTTTTAACCTTACAATGGTGCCAAAGTGACACACATTCAGTAGAAACTGTACTTCACATTTTGAATTTGGATCTTTTTGTGGAGTAGTGATACGCAATACAATACTCTCTAATGATGCTGACCAAGTGCAGTGAGCCAAAGCTCTCGGTCAACCATGAGATCATGAAACAACTGATACACTGACAACCATTCTGTTTTTCACCTTCACTACCATATTCAATGAATCACAATGATATTCAATACTTTAATATGAAATAGGCTTTGTGTTAGATGATTCTGTCCAACTGTAGACTAATTTAAGTGTTCTGAGCACACTGAAGGTAGGGTAGGCTAAACTGATATGCAGTAGTTAGGAGTATTAAATGCATTTTTGACTTACAATATTTTCGACTTACAATGGCTTTATCAGGACATAACCCCAATGTAAGTCAAGGAAGATCTGTACATACACGTGTGTGTGTGTGTTATTATTATGATATTATTACTATCAGCTCCCTGATCTGTAAGCTCTTTATGGGGAAGAGCTATGTATGTGTTTCTCACCAATCCATTGCTCCTACAGAGTAGACAGTCAATAACATTTGCTGAATAGGTGAACAGAAAGAAACATCCCAAAAGGCACAATAAATTTATAGGGGAAGAAATAAGTGAGGAATACTAACAGGAAAGACCAAGAATAAAGGGTTCTGAAGGCAAAAAAAGAATTTCTTATTCAACTAGAAACTGGCATTCAAATAATCAATCTGGAAGCAAATAAGAAAAAATACTTACGAATGGCCCCTTTATAATTAGTGAGCTAGATTCTTTACAGAACTAAATGCTTTTCCATGACCTCATAAAGTATAATGCCAAAGAATGTCACATATGAGAAAAATAAAAGAGACCAAACTAATCAATGCCATGTACTACAATAAATTTTACATTTGAAAGGCACTGATCACATAGTGATAAATACAAAAATATTAGTAGCTGCAAGGTAACAGCATAACTAAGAACTAGAGCTCTGGGGACAGACGACCGAGCTCAAACTCTAGCCCTATATTACACTAACTTTGTAAACTTAGAAAAGCAACCTCTCCATACTTTAATTTATTTATATGTGAAATAAAAATCACATTATTTTCCTCATCGGATCATTGTGAAACTAAATGAAAGAATATACATTAAGCACTTCGAAGAGTGCTTGGATCATGAGCACTTAATGTTAGCAATGATGATGACACAACCATGACAAAATTGATGACAACTAGCATCCTTACGCTATAATTCATTATCTTGCTCTACAGAGAAGACTGTGTAAATGAGAATGTGTTAGTCTGCTCCGGTTACTATAACAGAATACCACGGACTGGGTGGCTTAAAAAACAGAAATTTGTTCTCACTGATATGAGCAATTCTTAATCTCAGGAAACAAACTGAGGGTTGCTGAAGTGGTGGGGGGTGGGAGGGATGGGGTGGCTGGGTGACAGGCATTGGGGAGGGTATGTGCTATGGTGAGCGCTGTGAATCGTGTAAGACTGTTGAATCACAGACCTGCACCTCTGAAACAAATAATACATTATGTGTTTAAAAAAAAAAAAAAAGAAGACAGGGGGAAGGGAAAAATGAAGGGGGGGAATTTTTTTTTTTTTTTTTAATGAAAGACGTTGTACTTTGAGAAACAAACTGGGGGGTCGAGAGGGGAGGGGGGTGGGGGGATGGGTTAGCCGGGGGATGGGTTAGCCCAGTGATGGGTATTAAAGAGGGTACGTTCTGCATGGAGCACTGGGTGTAATACACAAACAATGAATCATGGAACACTACATCAAAAACTAATGATGTAATGTATGGTGATTAACATAACATAATAAAAAAAAATAGAAATCTGTTGTCTCACAGTTCTGGAAGCTAGAAGTCCAAGATCAAGATGCCAGTAGAACTGGTCTCTGATGAGACCTGGTTTGCTGATTTGCAGACGGTCGTCTTCTTGCAGTGTCTTTACATGACCTTTTCTCTGTGGACATACTCTCCCAGTATCTGCTGGTTCTTATAAGGACACCAGTCTATTGGATTAGGGTCCCATTCTACGATCTCATTTAACCTTAATTATCCCTTATAGGCCCTTGCTCCAAATACAGTTACTTCTAGGTTATAGCTTCAACATGAGTTTGGGAGGCACACAATTCAGTCAATAGGAATACTTTTAAATAAATATTTATGACTTTACATGTAAAATTCTCTCTGTCACATTGGAAAAAGTGAGGGTTAAGTAAAAATTACGTTGAATTTATATAAATTTTAATAAATTTGTATATCACCTAAACCCAATACAGTTAAACGTCAAAATAAGGAAAATGTAAACTACCACTATACACTGGAAAAAATATATTTCCTCGGGGCGCCTGGGTGGCTCAGTTGTTAAGCATCTGCCTTTGGGTCAGATCATGATCCCAGGGTCCTGGGATCGAGCCCCGCATCGGGCTCCCTGCTCAGCGGGAAGCCTGCTTCTCCCTCTCCCACTCCCCATGCTTGTGTTCCCTCTCTCACTGTCCCTCTCTGTCAAATAAATAAATAAAGTCTTTAAAAATATATATATCTATTTCCTCTATAATGGAAAAGTTAAAATGTGTTTAGCATACTAATAGCAAAAACTGTTCAATGATAAAGATAACATTGGTTAAAATTATTTTAATCACATCACAGAATTTATTATAACTACTTGTCTTTATTAACTTATTCAATGAATTGTATTTTTATTTGACTGACAAAAACGTACCATAACCAACTCTATTAAGTTTATTAGCAAAATAATACCTGTTGAAAAACATCTGTCCCCTCATCATAGTCCACCATACTGAAGAAGAGTTTGTTGCAAAAGGCAGATGAGTAGCGCCAGGAGTTAGCCAGTATTTGATATTCTTCATTAGCTTGCCTGATAAGGAGAATGGGGCAGAGTAAAAACATATCAGTACTCAAGCATTAACAAAGCTATTAATAACAGGTAATTCCAACACCAGGGTTGGCTAATTTCTGCACAGACTGCAAGCACTGATTTTATATTTTTACATGATTGTAACAAAATAGGAGAAATATTCCATCACATGTGAAAATTATTTAAGATTCGTATCATGTTGTTCATAAAGTTTTATGGCACCTCAGCCACACTGATTCATTTGTGTTGTGATGACTGCTATTGTACTATATACGGGCAGAGCTGAATAGTTGTAATGGAAAGCATGTGGGCCAAAAAGTGTGTGGCATGGCACTTTAAATAACCGACATTTCTTATTCTAGGGTTTGTGGCATCCCCTATACATAAAATTTAAATCTTCAGATGATTTTTATGTAAAGGACATAAAGCAATTTTTAAGAATATGGGCAATTCAGTATAACAGAACAAAAATCATAGGCATTTTTTTACATTGTGAACGCAATTATACTGCATCTTTTATATACTCCATTTATCTAAAAGTGCATTTACATTCAAAATTACTAATTAGCAAAAGTAAGTAAAAATTCTACTGGTAGTTAAACCAAATGCCACAAATAAGCCCTCTTCTATGAACATTATCCACTCCTATTTTGAATTAATTTCTAGTGGACATTTTGTTGATTTTCCAAATAATAAAGCTTTATTTAAGTGTAGGTTTGGAGTAGAAACAGAGACACGGCATTGCTAGAAGGCTATAAGTACAGTCATAGAAACAAGAAGCAACAAGTGATCATTAAAACATGTTTTTATAAAGTGTGTTACCTCCACATAATTGAGAAAGGAGTCTATCTCCTCCCTCTCCCAAAATGGAAGAGATAAAAATGTATAATCTCATAATAACACAAAGACTTGGAGTAGTCAGCAGTAAATAAGAGAGTTCAAGAAATACCTGGAAAACAGAAAGCTAGTGGAAAAGTTTTGATGGAGGAATGTACAATTACAAAAGGAGACTGCACTGCAGGAAAGAGGAAAAATGCTGGATTAAGAAGCAGCGGAGTCTGGAGATAAGAAATGGAACTCAGAGATCATAATTCAATTTCTTTATATGAGATAGAAGACCCAAACTCCTGCCCCACTCCCAACCAATTCCTATGTGAGTCTTTCTATACCTAAGTGACTGGACTATTAAAAAAAAAAAAAAAATCACTTTATGTGACTGAGAAAAACCCAACATGATTAAAGAAAAAAAAAAATCCCAAACAAAACAGACTCCAGAAGAAACATAATTCAAAGAAGTACAAAAACATTAAGAAGAAACTTAATATACTCAGAAAAAGTCAGAGGAATTTGTCAAGAACCGTGCAGGGTATGAGATTTTATCTTATATACAAGCTAACAAGCTACCCTGTTACTGTTTCATGGAGGCTGGCAGAAAAGATGAGACTGCTGGGTCAGAGACAGAGGACTTTATTACTTCATGTTCATTCACATCAGTTCCCCCTGCCCCCAAATCTCACTGGTGACACAAAGGGTCCTTCGTGAATGCCAGCACACACAGTTAACTGTGTTAAAGGAGAACACCAAGGTTGAGGCACTTACTGTTTTTATAATAAGTAAGAAGAAGCCTGTGCTTTGTTCAGTGGGAGACATTGTTTCATTCCTTAAGGCTTCTCACTGCACACACACCCCTGAGACACTGCCCAGGTAAAGAGCAATCAGGCCTCTGCCTTCTTGGCATAACCAGTCAGAACATGCAGGGATGCTCAAGGCCCACGATAGCCTGCTTCTTCCAATAGTATTCACACACACACACACACACACACACACACACACACACACACACACCCCAATATCATAGAAAAAAGGAACAAAGAAAGTAAAAGAGAGCACTTAAAATTTAAAATATGATTGTTCAAATTAAATACCAGTATTAGAAGGTAGTGTTAAATAAAAATCACAGAATAAAAAATTCACAGGTGGACTATACTGGAAAAAAAGAGAGAGAAAGAGACCTAGAGATATAATCCAAAAATTCCAACTTTCAGAGGAGACCCAGAAATACGAGAGAGAGAGAATGGAGGAAATATTTCTGGAGACAGAATTAAAGGAGACTAAGTGTTCAAATTAAAATTATTTCCCAGGTTCTAAGTAAGAAAAACAAGAAAAGGCCAACACCAGACATACTGTGATATTCCAGATTATAGAGAAAAAGAAGGTCAGAGAAAAAAATATGTCACAATGACAAATGATGAGATTGGGACTGGAACAGTAATTACCAACACTAGATATTGGCAGATAATTGAACAATTCCTTCAGAGTTTTGAGAGCATGTTATTTTCAATGTAGAATTCTGTATCAAGCCAAACAATTAAGTTTGAAATAAACATATTCTCAGAAATGTAAGGAATGTGAAATTACCTTAGGATATAACTGAAAGAAAGGTAATATGAATGAAAAAATGAGAAAACTTGAGAGTATGAGAGAAACGCTGTAAGAAAGGGAAAAGGGCAACTAGAATTATGGTTAAGGTAGGCAGGGTAGAAGATGTGTAAGAAAACTGATCCACCTAAGAAGCTATAAAGTACAAATTAGAACAGAAATTTAATTGGACTTTAAGATAAAAAGATTCTAAGCAATCATTAGAATCAGTAGAAGTTTGAAGATATTAAGACCATAGTATGTAAGACATATTTGGTCCAGGAAAAACTACAAGAAAATGAATATATATGATGCAAATTAAAATGTATCATAATTTTAATTGGAAATGAGGAAGGTTCATTACTTTGAACAGTATGGAATGTAAATGCTATCAACCCTTGATGATGTAAAAGTACAATTAACAGGATTTGGTGGGTAAAAGGGAAGGGGAAGAGGTGAGAAGAAGGGGCGTACTTACTAATCTTCATGTGACCAAATAGGGAATCAAGAGAGGTCATCTATAGTTAATGCACAAGAAATAGAAGGATGCTATTTACTGTTACAATAATAAAAGAAGAACTAGGAAGCTATAAAAATAAGGAGAGATGAATTAAATCCTTACCTACCATAGCAAGAAACATCAAGTCTGCTTTATGAAATACCGTTATAAAATAATATTTGGAAATATCAAGAAAAAAATCACTAGAGGAAGAAAATAAAAAGGAGTAATAGTGATTGCCTATGGCCAAGTATACACACAGATGAGTGTAGAGGCTAGGGAGTGTAGTTGTTCATTTTAGGCTTTCTAAATTAACAAAGAGCACATAATATTGCTGTGATTAAAATATATATATTTAAAAGAGTTAAATACGAACAGGGCTATAATCTGAGGTCACTTAGCATAAAGACCTTAAGGGCATCATTTTATTGGACCATAGTACAAAAACAGATCATTGTAAGGATTAGCTTAAGACTGCACTGCGCTCAGTAGGCAGAACATGTTCAATGAAAATGATCACAATCTTTTAAAGCTTTGGTGGTTGAATAAGATTTAATTTACTATAATTCACTCAAAAACCATTTATTGAGCACTTAATAGCTAAGTGAGCTAATTTCTAAGGTCTCTGCTCTCATGAAGTTGATATTTCAGTGGAGAGACATATAATAAACAACCAAATATGTAATTAAAATCCACAATACACACTGAGAAAATAATAGAATGGTATTACAGAAAATAATGGAGGATCTATGTACATGGAATGTCAAGAAAGGTTTCTCAGATAAAATGACTCTAAAGCTCAAATCCCAAGGATGAGAAAATCACAACACTGAAAGAAGCTAGAGAATAAACATTTCAGGTAGCAGGAAAAGCAAGCACAAAGGCCTAAGGAGGGAAAGAAGTTAAGATGCTGGTAAAATGAAGCTGTGACATAAATGAGAACATGCTCTCTGTTTATTAGAGGAATACACAGAGAATACAGAGCTTATGCCCTCCCTCATCTATTTAAAACAGTGCCTCACTGCTACAATAAAAACAGTAAAAACCAGCATAAGCCCTAAAATCTGATTTGATTTTTGTCATATGGAATATAATACTGGTAAGTATTCATCATTGATTTTTTTAAAGAAGCACTTCACACAGTAAATTGGCACCAACAATTAAGTAGGTCTGAACATCTTTGCACACTAACAAACCTCAAGAGAACAATGCTACCTTTAGAAAAAATCATTAAACAGATTAACATCACAATTAAAAAAAACAGTATATTTTTCCACAAAAGAACATTTTAACTTCAAAAAACTGAAACTAAGGGAAATAGCAAATCAGCAAAAGCTGGCATTCTTGTGACAATGATATTCTAAGAAATGAAAATGATTCATTCTGAAAAATATGCAAGAAGAAATCAATCAAATTTTAGTGTTCAACATCTATGTATAGTATCTTATAGAATGATGTAGCATAGGAATAATGTTGAATTTCTTTCCCTCATAATGCTGTAACCTAGCCCAGACCTACTAGAATCTACTAAATATACATTCATGCATTCATTCACTATACAAATATACATTAGTGCTGCCAAAAATTAAAAAGGAGCAAGGGCTCTGATCTTAAGGAGAATACAGTCCAGTGAGAAAGAGAGGGCCCATACAAGTATATACAACATTTCAGATAATCATAAGTACTCTGAAGAAAGTAAAACAAGAATATGTGACAAAGACTTTCTGCCCGTGGACGCCGCAGAGTAAGCATCATTAAAGTCTCCCCTCCCACCGCCGTCACGTCTAAGTCAGAGTCTCCCAAAGAGCCTGAACAGCTGCGGAAGCTCTTCATCGGAGGTTTGAGCTTTGAAACAACCGATGAGAATCTGAGGAGCCATTCTGAGCAATGGGGAACGCTTACGGACTGTGTGGTAATGAGAGATCCAAACACCAAGCGCTCCAGAGGCTTTGGGTTTGTCACGTATGCCACTGTGGAGGAGGTGGATGCAGCCATGAACGCAAGGCCACACAAGGTGGACGGAAGAGCTGTGGAACCAAAGAGGGCTGTCTCAAGAGAAGATTCTCAAAGACCTGGTGCCCAC